CATGAAGTAACCCCACACATTCATATTCACATGTGCCTCCGAGCTGCGTATACAAAATATGACCTTGAGCATTAATTAATTGCTGTCCTTTGAAGACCTTTCACTAGTTTATCTGGCAAAAGCATATAAACATTTTTTTGGTTTAATACCTTTGACTTCCATTGGAAGCATTCGGTGTGGCGACAAAATGCAACGGTAGAATAAGAGGTTGTTTTGCTGAAATCAAAAGTTAAATTTCATCAGTGTCGGCAAGTGGACCCAATCAAAACAGGCGCCTAATCCAATACTAGTATACTTGAGAAGTATTCATGCGATCAGGAAGTTTGGTGATATCTAATGTTTTTGCTTTTCATGATCTCAACTACTAATAAAAGGTCGTTTCAAATTCCAAGGATGCCAAACATTTGATCATTCTATTTAAATAACATAAGCATATACTGCTGGCGGTAGTTTTGAACTGTTTTCTCATTAAGTCATTTATACAGAGCATGATTTCGCAGGCGATTGAGTATGCTGGCTGACTTTTGCGGTAGGTGTGCATAACAAAATCTACCCTCTACAGTCCACTTCCGGCCCAAAAAATTATGATGTAAATATGTGGATACTTGTGATAATTGAAAATATTTCGGCTACAGTTACATGAGTCTCGTTGGTTCCCTTCTCAGTAGATTACGTCAACTAAAAGTATCGATCGCATCCATCTCAGTAGCAATAATTTCGAAATGATTGGTTTAAAAAAATGATTTATAAAAAATGAAAACATTGAGGTTATCCACAAATTTGTTAATACACAATCTTTTTTAAATCGGCATTTATATTGGTTCTATCTTTCTTTCCTATTTCCTTGTTATTTTTCGATCTTGCAAATAAATTAATTTAAAATCATAGTCAACTTGATGGTCACTTGTAGGAAATCTATCTAATTCAAGTAGTCAACAACAGCTGCGCCCAATTTAAATCGCAGAGTTTTATAGGCCAGCATTTTTCAACTTCTTCTTTGATCTTCATTTGTGCAAATTATATGTTATTTTAAACAAAACTATCTCCTTCTATCCTTTTATTTTAACACACAAATAAATAACGCTGTTTTTTGTACACGTGGATAAAAAGTATCAGGCATGATTGGAGGGGGGGGGAGGTATTTTTAAATTAATTATTTTAAAAAAGAAAATAGGATATAAATATGCTAAAACCAACTGTAAGTTAAGCTATGCTCTCTCTTTTCTTCATTTGATCACCAAAGATGACAATAAAATCGGATAAAACATGGGGAAATTGCATTCTCTGTCAAGTCATCATAATTCGAAATGTCACATCGTTCCGAGGCCTTGAGAGGGAGGGAGAGAGGGAGTTCTGTACTTTTGCATTCTGCACAGGCTTTTCACTTGATTTCCAAAGCTCGAAATTTATTTGAATTCTTATCTACTCCCCAAAACAATTTGCCCATAGTCTTTACGCATTGGTGGATGTCGTATTAGTAATCATGTAAGATACCACTTCAAACCCCATGTATTTCAATGAAGATGAATTGCTTCTGTTATTGGTTGTTGTTAGTTTGTAACATCCTCCCATCTGGCTGTCTCTCTCCCCCTAACAATAGGGAGATTCGAAATTAATAACTTTGCACAAAAAATCGTAAACCATGTCCACAACACATACATTTTTGGAGTTGGGGAGGAAGTGGGAGGTTAGCATTCACAGTTATGTCGCCCTCTAAGATGAGAGAGAGAGAGAGCGAGGCCCATAGGAATCCACGTGGGATTTAATGGTATCTTGTGGGAAACACAGCCGCGCCTTCTTTACCAGTCTCTCCCCACCACGTCTGTGAAATTTTTCCTAATACGCACAATGCCCAAGGTATGACTGTGTGGAATTGTTGCATATTTCAAATCCTACGCCTTGATATTTTAGCATAGTGTGTTTAAAGCGGCCATTATTCAAAATGAATTAATTTTTACCGTTGAGCATACGAGCACTATATTAATTGAAGAATGTACTCAAACAATTTGCTTTATACGATTATTTTAGGTAAGTTAATTAAGAACTTTCCACTGTTGAAGTTGTATTCTCAGCATTACTAGCAACTGGGCAACACAAAACGATCTAATTAAGTACTCATTGAGGAAAAACAAAGTGAAGTTAACAAAGAAAGATTTGAAGAATAGAGTTAAAGTCTTACTTCACTTGATTTGTGAACTTTGTCTATACACTCTTTACTAAATGAATACTTCACATTCCGAAAGTCAACTTCGTTATTTGTCCCCTGGGCTGATTAGCATGTTCCCCGATTTGCAGTTCATTTTCCTCATTGTCATCTATCCCTTTTGATTTTGAAGAGCCAAATTTGGAGCTAAGACAAGCATGAACCTCAGTATGGCATTGGCATAGCCGAATCGAAGCCACCCAATGCTTCCTTATTTCAATTCCCTTTAATTGTTTGGACATTCGGGTGAAGAACCACTACCAATGCGTATAATTTATGGTACATTCCTACTCTTAGTCCAATCATGAAAGAAGTGTCAATTAAATTGTCTGTCTTTCTTTGCAAAAAATGACTAGGATACACTAAGGTAACAAATAGAAGAGATGTAGGAATTCATATTGTGCCTTATCGGCATAAAGGAGGCAGAGCATGTGTTTTCTGATCACAGACATTGTGTCGTCTTATACTGTCTCTAATAGGCACACACTGACACACGCACACATACACGCAAATATACAGAAGATTTTGTGCTCACGTATAGCAGCACAACAGTGACGCGCAGCACGCTTGCACCTGGTTCTCAGCCAATGATGAGCCACGCTGTGGTTGTGTGTGTGCGGGTAGCGGTCCATCTTCAATTGAGAATTTATGTGCATTTGCATATGCGTGAACACACCCCTCAATTTCACATTTACCACAACAGTAGTGCCTCTTTCACATCCACATCCTCATATCCTACTCCACCACTTATGTCTATCAGGCAGCCATAACAACCCCCTGGATATTATCCCAAATTAGCAAGTTCGTTTGTTTTTTAATTAGTTTAAATCATTTTCATTCGTAGAATACTTTTCAAATTGACAATGGTTAATTTTTTTAAAATCTTATTTAATTATTTCAAAAAATTAACTTTTTATTGCTCTGGTAAATAATGACAACGCTTTGAACTCCATTTACTGACCCCTCATTAATTTAATACATTAATTAATAATAAAGTTAATTTGAATTTTGGAGTAAAATTTTCAATTAAAATTGCGCAAATGCAGTTTAAAAAGATTTTTTAAGCATTTTATTTTAAATCTAGAGTGTTGTCCTAGCGTCGAAAATAATAAGCGTAATTTTACTCTAGGATCTAGGTATCATTGACTTGAGTATGTAGCGGATTGCTCCGCTAGTAAAGCCTGACCGACTCAGAAATCTCTATGGCATATTCTCCAACATCTAGCTAGACTCCCAGAACCAGCTGTAAAGGAAACAGACGTGTAGCACGGAGCACGTTTATTCAGTGAGTATATTGTGGATAAAGTGTACACGCAGGAAGCTACTCATGATGACGCACACAGCGATAACGTGTTCCATTTTCATGTCTATTTTAATCAATTTTGAAGGCTTCTTCCAGGTAAAGGCGGTATTCACTTTTGATTTTTCATAGTAAAGTCATGCTTTGAAGCCTCGCTAATTTATAAATCATAGATCTCTATCAGACTAAAATGGTGAATGACGAGAATATCCATTAGAAAAGTTGTTTCAAAAAATTAAGACGAAGAGTACAAGTGTTGTATAAACCTTATTTACTTTGAAAGGAGAAAATTGTTAGTAGAATAGCGTTTCAGTGTGAACTAACATTCCTTAATTTCGTGAAAGTAAATTAAATCTCAATTTAGTTCTGGTTAATAAAACACTTCCTAAGGGTTATTTTTCTTGGTTCTATACATTATCACTATTACCATTCAATGTAGAATGAAATATTTGGGGATAAAAAGTTGCCAATTTTCGATTCCCATTGGGCAGTGTTTTGGAGAAACAGGCTTCCTTCTTGTTATCAATCGAAAGCGTCAACTTCTTTGTTTCTAAAGTGGAAAAGTGATTTTTATTTTGTTTGGCGTTGATTTTGACGGTTTCGTTTTATTCATTTTGTTAACGTTTTAGATGAATCTTTGAGATAACTTATTCAATTTCTTACATATATTTAATGCATGTAAGTAATGTAATTCAGGAGAACAAATGAAGATATCAATTTTGGTTTCATAACAAGGTGAATGGAAATTTTCTTATTTTTATTTGCTGTGGAGGGATGTGTAAACTATTGTAGAGCCTTAATAGAAGAAACACAAAATGTTCTGAACTCACAAAAGGCTCAAAATGACAACTGGAATACGTTCGAAACTTAAATTACTACCAAAATTATGCGAATAGGGTAAGAAAGAAAGTGGGAAATGAAGTTTGATTAAAGCATTTTCCTTGTACTTCGGATTTAAAAAGTCATTCAGGAACAGCTATCATTTAGTTACCTTCTTGTTGTTATGAGAGAAATATAATCGAATTACTATCTAGTAAAAAAATTTTCCAACTCCATCTTAGTCATAGGAGTTGATTCTTGAATTGTGATTCTTATTCGAGCTTTCCGATCAACATAAATTGAGAATCCATTTTGGTGATTCTTTCAAAATATTTCCTTCTAATTGAACATTTCAGTGTTGAAATCATAGAATGACGATTGTTTTACAACTTTCTCGAGGAAGTAGGAGAAGGGTTGAGATTTGAGACTTATTAGAACCGTTTAAACATATTACAAAAGCTTGTTCTTTATTTTTTTCAACTGATTTTTAGTTAGTGAGATTTATTGTAAAGAGGTGGCACGAAAATCTTGACGACTATGTAACGTACATTAATTCAATTAAGATAAGATCGAAAAATGGCCAATTCAGGAAAGGTAAAATGACCAATTAATTTTGTGTTTATAGAAACCGATTTCAGTGCTGGTCCTGTGCCAGTGTTCCCAAGAGCCAAAACACCAATGTACCAAAGAGAAACCTACTTAACCAACCTCGTCAGTGTGCCGACAACCAACACAGCAATGTCTCCTGAAAACTCCTCTAGTTCCTCCTATATGAATTCGAATCTTTCTGCCCCAGGTAATGGTTCCGTCCGCAGTATCGCCTTTCCATCTCCCGTTTCTACAGATCATCTTCAGCAACTCCATAACATACCAGATACTTGGTTGAATCCTTCACAAGTTCCGTCAATAGCTCATCATCAGAACTCCTGGGAACCCCTTACAAACCAACCTTACTTTCCCCACCCTTCTCGACAGTCTCCTACCTCAAGGCTATCGAAGATACGAAGAAATCATCTCCTCTACCTTGGCTATAAACGCAGTGGATCTTCGAGTGGAAAGAGTGGATATAGAGGACTTCGAGAGGACGCCGAAGATAATTGTGGAGTTCCAAGCAATGACAATGAATCCCCATCGGGAGATCCTGTAAATTTGTTGGATGGAATGAATGGAACTGCGGCGTCTACAGCAGTGGCTACTAAGAGATGCCGAGTTTGTGGAGATCGAGCGGTGAACCATAACTTTGGTCAACTGACTTGTGAATCGTGTAAGGCTTTCTTCCGCAGAAATGCTCATAAGGTAAGTAAGCGCTTATTTGTTCCGTGGATTCAAATAAACACAAATTAGTCCGGCAAATTTAAATGAACATAAATAAGTTGGTCTTTTAACTTTCTCACTACTTTCTTTAATTCCAATTTTAAGTAATAGTTTTGTAAAAAATAATTTTATAACTAAGCAAAAGGCAATGCGTATTGTTAAATTCGAATGCTGCTTTTACCATGTTATAGCATTTTATAATAAAGATATTCGCATAAAATAATCGTTTAATTTTTATATTTGGGATATTTTCTAAGAGGTATTTCTTAATTTTTTTAATTGTTTTTACCTAGAGGTGTCTGATTTCCAACATGATTTGGTGTTTTGACGAAAGTATATACTCTTATTTAGTTTGCAATGCCCTAGATATATTTTAATCTAAATTTCCAAACTATTCCCCTGGTTTATTGTGAATTTGAAAGGAAAATCCACTGAAGATTTGGAAGTTATCAAAATGCTGTGTTTGGAAGTTCAAGTAATGCATGTTTATCGTGCAAATGGCTTCCAAGAGGGTTAAAAGACCTGACCATAATCTGCTGGCCAAAAAAGTACAAGTATCAAATTGATCACTCATTACCGGGGTTTTTGTTTATGGAGCCCAAGGCACTCTCGTTCGCTCTCTGGCTCTTTCATGTAGAGGAGGCACTTTATCAAGCACCCTTTATTAGCAGCGCGTGTTTGCGTGATGTGTATACCACTCTGGTACAACCTGCCAAGCTGATCTTTAACGCCTGAACGCTTTCTAACCTGAAGGTTCCCCTCCCCAGCTGGCCAGATTCGATCTTAATTATTCTTCAACTTACGTAACTATAGCTTCTTGTCTCGGTTAATGGACAAGTCTGTTAGTCTTGCTTGGAAAACTCAAAGAAATCGATCAGGATCTTTAAATAGAATGCTCTAGCGCGATCATGAGTTCTGAAATGTAGAGGTCTCCACTCTCCAAGATATGTCATTTACTTGCCATTTATCTTAGTTAATGCCTTTTGAGAATTGTTCATTTAGGCAAATTGAAATTATGTATGCCTATATTACTTGATTCGACGAATCTAAACAACATTTTGCAGCTTTTCAATTAATTTATTTCAAATGTTTTAAATAATACCTATTTACCGCAGAAAAAATTGTCTATACCAATGAATCAAAAAGCGTTTGCAACTGGTCCTTTCAATTGTTTTAATTCATTTCCGAACCTAAAAGTGCAAACTTTATCAATAATCCAAGGTAACGAAACAATAGGCTCCGTTTCAGCAAAACGATTTCATTTAGGAAAATGTATTTAGGGTATTAGCAGTTACCTTTGTCTTATGTAGGCTTCCTTTGAGTTCAAATGTATAAAAGCATTTAGTGGGACAAAATAAATGGCAATATTATGTGCTTTATCTATTAAATGCAAATTCAACTATTAAATATCTACGTGCAATTATTGAAAAGATCTATTGACATTGATCAACCCTCAAGGGCTTGTATTTGATTATGACTCAAGCTTTATATAATGAGAATACTTTTGAACAAGATAATAAATACTAGTTTTAATTGCGCAGCAAAAGATGAATTTGAATTCCATAAATTTTATACGAACAAAGTTGGTAATTTCGGTATGCATACAGTACCTATGTCCCGAATAATAGGTCAATCGATTTCTTGAGATTTAAATCGGATAATATTAGAAATAAAATCAATGTACCATTTTCTTCAAAAGCATCAAACGGCAATGCGTCAGAACAAATTTCTTTCTGAAGAAAAGATAGATAATTAACAGCGTTCTGAAAGCTATTATAAGATTCCAAAATTATTTTTCCACAGTTCCTAATTTTATTAAGACAACAACTTGACTAAGTAATAATGAAATACCGAGGTAGAGGTGAATTACAACTGCGATACTTCAATTGAATAGTCCAATGTTAGTAGAATGCTTGCATTCCAAAGTCACCACAAAAGCAACAGTTGGCCGAACACCCCTTCACTGAAAACGTTTGTGTTTATAAGCTAATATTTGTGTGTATGTGAGTGTGTGTGTGTGTGTATGTGTATGTGGAATCTGGGGGTATATTTCCATTTGGGGTGCCTGTTCTTGTGCAGTGTTTGTTTGCCAGGAAGAGAAATCTGGATATCACTTAAAACACCAAAACACCTTGTTTCAAGGCTCTTCCGTCTATAAGCGCAGTGCTACAGTCCAGCGGCACCAAATCAATCACCATGGAAGTCTACATTAAGGCCATTCAACATGGCCTCAGAGTAAGTGCTGACAATTGTCGAATTCCTCCAAGCCCTGTGTTCCGCTTGCTGTATTTGTGCTTCTGTGTGTTTTTGGCTATTGTTTGCAAAGACATTGTTTTTTATTTATCGTGTAAAATTGAATGGAGAAAAGATTCATTGATATAAGTAGACGTGAAGACGTAAGGTTTTAGGAAACGTTAATACTTAATTAACCAGTAAGTAAGAATTGCGCGTGTAGATATTGAATGTTAAGTTCTAACATTTCGGCAAAATTAATCTTAAAGGATTCTGTTTTTTTTTGAAACTTTGATTGCAAATAGTCATGTGAATAGGTTTTGTGGCATGATATTAACGTCAATGTCACTTTAATTTATGCTAAAACGGGCGTCAATTTACCTGAAAGTAAAGCATCATTTCTTCCTATTTTTAAGAGCACATTTTCAGTGAAATTCATATATGAATCTAGACAATAAAAAATTTAATATTTACATTTTTGCTATAATATGTTGATTTAGAGTTACAAGAACTCAAAAGATTTCTTTTTAACCAATTCAAGGCTTTTTTTAATTTCTGCTTTAGAAGACAATTGCATAGGTAGAATAGTTGTTGCAAACTAAATTTGAAATTATTATTTTAATTGAGTGAATTAAAAAGGAGTTTGTTTGAAGTGAGTGTGCTAGACAATGACCAATAGGAATTTTCCGTTTTCAAAGGAGGAAGGTGCCTAGATTATAAATCTCTTTTAGTATAAATCACGTCTTGAATTTAATAACTTAAATTTTGATATTTACAAATACAGATTCTTAATGAATTATTATGTTTGTCAAATGACTGATTTAATTGATTTCAAGCCTTCAAATGAAGCACAATTCTTCCATTTGAGGGAAAAATCTCAGTGGACACTCTACGCTGTTGTGATTGATGTTATCAGCAGCCTTCAGCTGACAAGGGAGTCTAGGAGATTTACTGGAGTGACAAAACATAGGTGATTGTGTTGTCTAGCTACATACTACCATCAAAGAGAAATTTCATGATGTATAGCAGACTTGGCATGTATATGTAATACCGGGCGTGTATTCTACTGTATATCTTTTAATGTTAGGTGGGTAATTTGATGTTGATGTCTGCTAATTCACTTCACTTAACCACCAGCAGCAGTGGTAGCTCTGAGAGGATGACAGAGTAGTGTCAGTTGTGTGTGCTGTGTGTGTATGTGTGTGAATGCGCGTTTATGACACAAATCCCTCTTTATCTCTCTTTGTGAAGTCGATTTCCACACACTTGCACACACGCGCGCACTTACACAGCTGTGATATTACAAAATCTAGGGAACTTTAAAGCTGTGAAAGACTGCCAAAAAGGCATCAAAGAGTAAAAAACCGATTTAAGAAGAATATGTATGACTTTTTACCCCCCCCCCCCCCCACATCTTTCATCCGGAAAATAAACACGCTACCTGGGTGATATTTATTTGGTATTTCAATGTGCTGAATTTTGGGAAGAAGGTTTAAAAGGGTGAATATTTATGCAACTTTATTTTCATTACTTCTAGGACCTGACATGTACGTCAAAATCTGGGGAGCACGTGGTATCACCTTCCACCAGGAGGGAATGTCCAGCTTGTCGACTCAAACGATGTTTCCTGATTGGAATGAGGCCGGATCTTATTCAGGTTCGAAAAAGTAAGTGACCATATTTATTCCCCTCTTTCTCATTTGAATTTTTTCCTTAAAATATTAAGAAGTTTAAAAATTTCGATTCTTTTCACTTTTATTCAAATTTGCTTGAAAATATTGATTAATAAGTCATAGAGAAATACGCCTTAAATGTGTTTAAACACTCCATAAAAAGATGTCAATAAATCATGACTAATAATACTTTCTTTAAGTAATTATCGAATTCTTTTTTTGTTAAATTGAGTAATTGCAATTTAGTGCTTTCTCCGTAAAAGTCAAATTTTGTGAGTAAAGATCAGTTTTCAATTTAAACAAAACGACATTGTCGGTTCTAGTTATCTATTTATGAAAATGCATTTATGATATGACTTTAGGTCGAAAGGATAGGATAACAGTTTTAAAACAAACATACGGGCATTTCGAATAAATTACAATGACTTAAAATTTCTTGTAAGAATCGAGTTTATAGCACATTTTTCTCTGTGTTGAATCAATTAATGATAACTTAATTGTTAATTTGATTTTACACTTGGAGTGACATCAAAAAAGTTAATTGAATGATGGGTGATTGAGAGAATCATTATAAACTAAAGCATGACTGAAAATTTGTGCCGCAAATAAAGTTGAAAAAATTTATTGATCTATTAAATTTTCCCCAATAAATAAAAAAACAAGAAGGACATTAAAAACACAAAAATTTTCATTTAAATATTAACTTATTCAAGGAGAAAAATTCTCAGAGTTTTAGAAAATTTGTGATTTCTGTTTTGGCATGAAAAGTTCTTAGCACGTTTCAGTATTAATTCGAATATATGATTGTTATATTGATCCCTCTTAAAATTTTATCCACACATAACTGATGCCATGGAGTGTTCTAAACATGACACTTTCTTGAGTTTTCAAACTGGCGGAGTCCTCTAATGGAAGCTGCTATACGGTTACTTTCCATGCATTCTTGAATTCTTAGGCCTCTTTTATTAACCCAATAACCATTACTCAACTTATTGAATATTCAACCATTCAAACCGTTTATCATCAATTTCTATCTAACATTTTTTCACTGACCTCGTATAGGGAGTGTTGCTAAAACGAATAGGATATTTGGTTAGTTGTTCGTCTAATTAACAGTTATCATAGTCATTAGAAGCAAAAATTATATTGAAATGCCATTTTCAAGAACTGAGTTTACTTAGCGAAGAATTTGGAGGATATGACATAATCCATTAACCGCAATTTAAAGCCTCGAAAATTTGAATTTTGGAGTAATGGGAAAGTATATTAATGCATCCGTATATTAAATAAAGTAAGATTCCACGATTTCATTAGTGTTTTTACTGGAGCATTTCTTTTCAGTGTTTATTGAATTATTTTTTTTTATTGCTTGGCCTTATTTTGGACGAGTTTCCAAGTTTAAGATAGGGTAAAAGTACTTATGAATTTGATAATAATCAAAGTGACGTTCAATTGGTGTGAATCCTTTTTAAAGAAATCGATTTCGAAAAATTTAGGCTTGGTATATACACGTAGTTCTCTGCCCCCCCCCCCCCCCCCCACCATAGCTCCTTCCAGCAGACGTCTGTTGTTCGAGAAGACCTATAGCTCGGTAAAAGTACAAATGTGATGTGGGCGTTGTCATTTTAACAGACAAATTAACTCCGTCTGCGAACAGGCCATAGTTTCAGCCACCTTTCAATATACTCATACCTAGTTATATCTGAAGCGAGTTTACCACTTACTGACGTTTACATTTTCACTGCAAATAGAACAGCAAGATCATCGTAATGTGATCTGCAGACATGTAAAGATAAGCAGGTAATGCCACAAGATTATTACTTCCTGCCAATTTAATATTTTGTTTATTCCAACCTTACCGCCACTTTTATACCTCTTGGCGAAAGCTGGCCTGGAATAAATTAATAGCCCATAAACATTTGTTATAATTGATCTATAATTTTTACAACCGGCATATATATATATATATATATACATGACATGACATGATTTTGGGTGGTGAGATGTTTTGGTTAGTTCTGATTGAGTTGTAATTATATTTTGTGCATTAGAGGTTTATATTTGTTGATAATTGAAAGGACTGTGGTAACCTGGTAAGAATTATTTAATGATTTGAAATGCTTTTCAACAGTTATTGGGAAGAAATGATCATTTGAGGTGTATTCGAATAGTACAGGTAGCTAAAACTGTTAATTTTTTTAAAAGAAAATATTTATTTAATATTATTAATAAGTTTTATGCTCATACTTTGCACCATGTCCAATAAATGCACATTAAAGAGATCGCCGTAATAATAATCGGTACTATAATCCCATGATTTACAATTGATTTCCAATTTTTCATATCCGCTTTCTTCATTGAATACAGCAATTCATGTATGGGGCCAAAGGGCGGAATCTATTATGGCAATGCCGATTGTAACATTCCATTTCCACCCAAAAATTAGAACTTAATTCAACCAACTTCCCACAAAGTTACTACTTACATTAGGTCTTCTCACGTCAGGTATTTAAACGCCTAAACTTTGTTCTCCATTCCTGAATCCTCCTGGTATTATCCGTGCTTCGCATAACGATTGGCCAATCAAATTTCCCCTCAGCATTCAGGTTGGAAGTAAAAAGTGAATGAATCGGTTTTTACCCTGAATATCTAAACTCCTATGCGACGATTTATATTGTAATATGCTTTGAGCTGAACTCTTATTTAAGAGAAAGTAGTTTTTATAAGGATGCATTTAAATACGACAAGTGAAACTTTTTTACTCGACAACACCGACACAAAGACATAATTTCAAGGACCACTACAACTTTGACCTACTTTATGAATGATTTCTTATTCCCAATGTTCTAGTATTGTCGATCAGCTGATTAAATTTAATTTCTGCTAATAACATTAAGGTATTCCTTTAACAGTAGCTTAGATGCTAACTGGGAGGCACACACCAACATCAAATCAGCTCCTCCCACTGAAGTTCTCAAACAGGAATATTTTAATTATTTTTATTTATTTGGTATTCAGAGGATGTTATTGCACTGGGTCTGCTTGAACTCTACAAATTTACCCCCAAAGTTAACTAGAAGGTGCAAAGGTTAAATGATAGAATAGAAAAGTGCACTTGAAAGATATTCTCACCAAATTAGGCTTGAACTCGCCTTGTTCACTGTGTCCTTCACCTTCAAGATGTCGGAAATTAAAAGCTTTTGCATTATTCGTTAAGTAGATGTAAAATTAAAACTTTCATATACGTACGAACTTTTCTAGCATTCATTTTACAAAACCAATTATTATTAACCAGTTGCTAGTACACATTTTGCCTTGATCTAAAAATATCCTCTCGTCTTAGAAATAGCAAAACAGGATTCAAGATGCTTCATTTCTCCCATTCCAGAAGACGGGACAAAGCCTCGATGGCTGGACAAGTACCCTGCGGCCGCTCAAGTTCACGAGCACGTAACTCGCAAAGATGTGCCAAAGTTGTCAAGAAGTCAGCAGAACTCAAGTCCCGGTGACGCTAGGAGCAATCGAGATTCGTACAATCTCTCCTATCCGATTTACACAGAAGCATCCCACAGTATGTTGAAAAGTGGCCGATCTTTTGACTCATATACAACGGACCCTACTTATGCAATGACTTCGTCGCATCATGCCCCAAATAGTAATGAGGGAATTTATGAAGAAAATGGACAGAGTATTACTGGAATGCTGACTGGAGTTATGGATAATCTATCAAGTCCACAGTACAGACTGACGGGTAAGCTTAATCTGGGAAAAATGCGAGTTTAGATTTGGTTTAAATAACTTTTATGTTTTTGTTGTGGTTAAAAGTGTACAAAAAATTCAAAAATGATTGGAGAGACACACTAAGTAAATGGTTATTAGCCGAATCAAATGTAAATTTAAAATTGCAGACTATCTAAAACCAAATTAAGAGTTTACAATGGTTACTGCCTGATAAATACATTCTTTTAATCAATTTTTTCCTTTTGGATAAATCATAATTTGTGTGTGCTGGTAATTCCATTACAATTAAATAAAAATAAATTATCTTTGTTTTTGTTGAGGTATCAGAATGATTAGTTTTATCCCACGATATCAAATGGCGGCCTTGTCAATAAATGAAATTTATTATTAACTTTTAATTGAATTTCTAGTTGAATTTTAACTTTGATACACATCCTTCAAGCTGTTTATAAATTGTTATTGATTTATTGATGTATTCATCTAATCATCGGCAGATAGGAAAATCAATAAGGAGCAATAAATTTTTGCACTCAGATATGCACTCTAAAAATGAACATACAACTAATTCTTCGATTTTCTATTTTCTAATGTTTTTTAGCCTAACTAATGCACTTTGTCAAAAAAATTTGCCGCTTCATACTATCCCAAATTAAATCGAATATTATAATGATCTATCAATTCCATTTTTTTAATAATAGAGATTATTGTCCAAAATTTCAAGAATATTTTATCACTAAGGGATTCTAGGACTTCGACAGCTCCATCTTGGTTCATTGTTATAGGATTTTATTCTGTGGGACTTTCAGATGGTTTTAAATTATCACAAATTAGCTAAGTCATTTATGTCAGAATTATTTTATCGTATGGTACCTTTAGATGAAGCCGTTCGTTACAAGACATCACCATGGAATCAAGGTCAATCCACATCTAATTCGAACTGGTCTCAAGCGTCGGCACCGATCTATCAGGCAGGAAATTCTGCAACGCCAGTTCAAACAGGCGATACCTTCCTATTCGAGGGGTTTCCTGCTGATCCCAATTGTCAGCGTCACCCCTCCTTACACTACCATCAAAGCTCTCTTTTAGCCAATATGCAGATCACTCAAGAGCGTCCTAATTTTGTCCCATCAGCATGTCTAGAAGCATATGTAAGCTCGATTCATGCTTCAAATGCAGAAAGTCGCTCAGGAACATCATCTGGTTCAACAACTTCACCATCTGTGGCTTCTTCGTCGGTTTTGACGAACTTTGGAAGTGGAGGATCTGATTCTACAATGCAAGGAAATTTTGATCCCGGCTCATGGAAAGCTGTGACTTCGGAATGGACTCAATTGACAGAAGGCGATTCTGGGAGCGTGTACCTCCAAAGTTTGTCGCCTTTAAGGGTAAGCTTTGAGCAAGTGAATCCACATGTGAAATAATTATATACCTTTTTAAAAGGAAATAATAGTGGAATTTAAACGAATTCATTACAATCGACACGATCGAAATATGCTTATTTGGATGAGAAAGTAATTAGTCATAAATAAGACGCTTACTTGCGAGACCATGGATTTCTTTGACGTTGTGGTTACAACCGGTGTTTCTGCCTCAAAAATATTTAGATTTTGAGGTAGTTAAAAGGATTGTTGGTTAAGAGCAAAGATAGGAAAATGGTCTGAATTTTATTATCCGATAACTCTCAAACTCCGTTTATGGTTAGAACATTGGGCATTTAAACGCACTCTCATGACAATTGTAGGAACCTAGGTGGATTCTAGGCTCATTTACTACATCAAACCGAGATAAATGACAAAAGTACGGCTTACAGTATCACTTGTAAATGAAAATACTATGCAAGCATACGCTTTTGCAACTATCTCATGTCTTTGGGATGTATGTACAGTGATTGCGTTAATTTATAATTAAGAATCTATTAGCAAATTTGACTGGGGAATTAGTGTTTCAGCTAGCAATCTTTCCATATTCTAGATTTGTCATACCTTGAAATTAATAAAATCAAAACTTAATTCAAATTATCCAGCTTCAAGTTCAAATAAAATTTTCTCAACCAATACGGAACAGCATATCATTGGAGATTTTTAAATAACTTTAAAATTATTTTGGTCTGATTCTGAATCTGCATCACTTTAATTTTTTTCAGAGTCAAATGTGTGTATCCGTGAAAGCAGAACAACGCCAACCACTGATTTCACCCACAGAAGGTTTGTTGACCTTGAGATTGTGATAAATATCAAAAAATTAGCTACAGTCTAAATTTAGAATGACAGCATTGTCATTATAAAGCTTCTACTTAAATCTTACTAAATGTGCATCATTGCATGACTTTGAAAAAAATTAGGCAATCATTTTTCATTAATTTTTTTTAATATAATAATAATAATAATAACAAAGACACTTCAAACAGAGCATAATGGTCAAATTTCATTTCATTGTGATAGGTGAGCAGTTGTTTCAACGTTTGTCATTCTCTTGGAAGTTTGCATGGAGAGAAGGAATATTCCCCAATCCATCCAACTTGCGCCTTCATTTGGATTTTGATCCATTGTCTCCAGAAGACAGTGAGGAGTGGCTTTTGACTCTGTCAAATCTGTGGAGTGACCTTCTCTTGAGACGTATAGCTGATTTTGCTTCTGGTCTCTTCCTAACTTCACAAACAGATCCCTTCTCCGATCTGCAAGTGTCTCCAGCTCTACTTACATGGATATTTAAGGTAAGTTATTGTATTAAATGAGAGCAACTATGTTTTAGTAAAATGAAGGGTTTTTACTATTTATGCGGTTGTTTTAGCATCGTCTTGTCAACTGTGTTCCTGTTATTCTCGCCCGAGCACTTGTGAGGTCGACGGAAATGAATTGTTCCTCTTCTTCACAAAATGAGATACTAGATGGCGGTGGATCGTCACCACGTTCACCGAGAGGCTTGGAGTCCACGTTGCTCCACTCAAACGGTTCTCGAAATTGCACCTTATCGGTAGTCTTCCAGGTGGCTCCCAATAATCAAGTGTATATCAACCTCTCGAGATTAAATGCTAAATTGATGGAGGGTCACACAAAGACAACCTATCCAATGCTCCAATACCTCGATGCCTACATCTCCGAGCTAAACAAATTTTTGACGGATCAAATCCTTCTTCTTGGTGCCTTCATGGCCGTCAAACTCACTGAACCACCTTCCCAAGAAGAACTTCTACAGGTTAGTCACGTTCCCGACCTTGAAATCATCCAGTGACTTCACTCTAATGGGTGTTTGCTTTGCGGATTTGAAGTTTATCGAGGGTTCGATTTATAAATGTGCGAAATTGCACTTGTATCGAAATTTTTATCATTAGGAATATATGTTTTACGCAAACATCCGAATTTGCTGGCAACTTTAGACAAATACACTTATGTAATTAAATCTATCACCTAACGGTTTATTATTTAAAGAAGAATTTGAAGATATTTTTCCGACTTCAGTATCTTCGTCATACTAATGCTTTTTTATGACTTAATTCTGGATATTTTTTTAATTAAAAAATGAGTGGAATATCGTCATTTGCTTTTGTCTGTAATTTTGCTGGAAATCAAATGGCAGATTTTGAATTATTGAATTTTCTGTTAATGCTCATTTTCTTTTATTGCATTTGCTAACGTCGATATATTTTGCCAAATATATATATATATATATATATATATAAATATATATATATATATATATATATATATATATATATATATTGACAGATGCATTGATTTCCTTTAAGCTCTCAAACGGGTCATTTTTTCATCTCACGGCAGCAAAAATTTAATCTATTTTATTCTCCAAAAAAAAATTAAGTCGCTCTTTATCTTGTTTTTTTTAAGAATTCACTATCTGATGTGGATTTACAACAGATGCACAGCTTTCACACCAAATTTGCCTACCTCTTTGGAGTTGCAGCGGACCACGTTGCATCGATTATTGTCAAGACGGAACCGAGTGAATCTATCCAAACTCGAGCCAAGGCCATGAACGATGCAGACTGTCGTAGAAACAAGCTCCCTGATTTTCTCAACTGGGGCCGTCAATTCGATGAGAATATGAAGTCTCTCCTCTATGATATTTGGAACGTAAGTCGGCAGCAACCGCAGACTTTCATTTCACCCGGTCTAGCTGCACTCTTCGGCGACGCGGGACGGTTGAGTCACATCCTCTCTTCTACCGACCCCCGAGAATACCAGGAGGCCGTGTAGATATACATATTATGATTTTCACTTGTGTACAGTCAGTTCAATCTCTCCTCAACTCGTGCATGTAAATACTGCTGCCATTACCATCCTTACCTAAGCTCTTGTGTGCGCCATGACAATCATCTAGGTTACCAAAATGCCACCTGCAAAGATACACCTTATTATTAATTTACATAACTACATGACTACAGTTAACTATTGCTCAATTCAGCTTTCTGAATTTGTCAAGGAAGTTTGATGCCTACCACACCTTCTCACACCCTTTTACTACTGAAACAATATCCGCTTTTCGTTAAATACCATTTTGTTGAGCTACATTGTGTGTGTGCGTGTGCCTTGCGAAAGAGAGAAGCGAAAATATCAAATCCGCGAATACCAAAGCACTTAACACATTGATATTTTTTCTTAATGAGCTTTCTTCCTCTCCCTCTCCCAATGTCTACCTTATACACCCCTTCGACCACCCCCCTCCCACTCCTCTCCAACTCCAATTTTGGTGTTGACACTGTCCGCAATCTTCTTCTTCTCCCCCCCCCCCTGTTGAAGTGCCTGAGTTCTATACTCATCTGTGTAATGTGGTGAATACGTGCAAATCGGCAGCTTTGTCTAATATAATCAGTGTTTATTCTATAATCGAATATTTTTTATTTGTTGTGATCGATGGCTCAAATGTGAAGGGACAATGGCTCTTTTTAGTGGTCAGGAATAATGTATCCATCACTACATGTCCATTGAACATATCAGTAGCGGTTAGAAGTGAAGTTGGTAAAAGGGCCAATTTCCCATGTTTTAACCCAGAAAGTGAATTGCATTTTGTTTAGACTTTGATATGTTTGACTGCAAAGAGAAATTAAGGTCGCTTTGGTGAGTTTTAGAGGTTAGAAACAATCATGAGTTACAATCTACTACATTAGCAAATCAGTCCCAACTTTGAAGGTTAACCATACCACTGAAACGTGTACTTCTTAACTAGTGTCGTTCAGGTTATGATTTGAATAATGTACTTTCTTCATCGGGGTAAAGGCAGAAAAGAAACCTACTAGCTAAACTTCAGCGAAAAAAAATGAAGAGAATCTTGTGTGAGGTGAGTAGACAAAAATGAGTTAGACAGGTGTAGGGGGTAGGCGAAATCTGAAGAGTTGGCCTTAGAAAGAGATCCAAGGGCGTACGAATTGGTGGAGATTTCTTAGGATGTTACTTCACCTGAGTCCATCAATGGATGGATATGGAGAGTGATGCAACAGAAAGGGAGAATGCAGTCTGGTCGCCAAATCTTGCGATTAATTAATGTAACCAGAGATTATTGACTGAATAGGCAAATGAAGTAGTCTGAACTATTGAGCGTTCCTATATTGATACTTGTAATATTCCTTATTTGTTCCGTTTAAATGAAAATAAAATATTAATTTACCCTTTTGTGTTTTTGGTCTGTATTTCTATCTCATTTTGGTCTCCTGGTATAATAAGAAGACTGCAAGACTTGACTATAGCCCTTCAAATTAAAACCGTGAATAAGAACGTGGAATCATTTATTTTGGGAAAAAACTATGTAAATCACCTTTTAAAGACCAGCATTCAATGTGCACCTTCAAGCTGAATCGAGCAGATAACATTATGATGTAAGTGAAGCTGTTGCAATTTCGTGAATCCCCTGTTCCCTGACTAACAAGTAACATTTTATTCACCATAACGAGGGCATTATAAAATTGTGCCATAATTAATTACAAATTAAGGAAAGGTTTATTTTTGTTTACTTTAGACATTTGGCTATCGAATTTGAATCAGTGAAAAGAAAGTCAATATTTCCATTCCCAAACTAGCAACACTAGGAAAAATCATAGTACATAACAAGGACATATGGACTCTTATCATTTTATTAGAATGTAAATTTGTTGTTGAGTTTTGCTGTGGAGCATTATTTGATGAATACTTAATTTTGTTTAAGTAACCATGGCAACAAGGAAAAAGTTCACACGTAGTAATTATGAAAAGAGTCTACGCACCAATGGAACAGTAAAATAGGCCTGAAATGGTGGAAGGAAGAACATAGAGAGGAAATTTACCCCATTAAAATTTTTGATTGGATTTTTCAAACGTTAAAAGGTTCAAAAATTCCTCGATTTCGTAATTGAAATATTTTGGTATATGGTCACCCCATGTTTTAACACTTTCTGGGATCGTGAAATACCAAAAAAAAAACCGATTGAAAGACAGCGGCTTTCTCCAAACTTCCATCAAGTTGAGCACTCCAAAGGAGCACATTCAAATTGCTTTTTTTAGCACACCGAAATGGATTTAATAGAAAATATAATTACAATCGAAATTTAAGGTTTGAGTCAATCAAGCCCACTATTGGATAATTATTGTCTAATTTTAAGAAATGTCTAAATATCAAGGTATTCCTTCTCCAAGGTTTTCTCGGTAAATTGGGAAATTGAAATTGTAAGACACTTGAAACTGAACCCATTCATTTCAATGTGAAATTGAATTAGTAGGCGAGAATCAATAAGATTGCTTCTTGAAATGCAAGAGTCATTTACTTCATTCACTTCGTGCTTCATACTATTTATTAGTAGTTAGAAGACTAAGATGAGGGCAAACTTGAAATCTACTTCATCTCTCAAACAGAAACTCATGTCGACCATGACGACGAAAGGGACAACATCACTCAGTACTAAAAATCTTGTAATGTGAGCGGTATATAAGTATCAAATATGACGTAACTTCCCAATACTCATATAACTATCAAAAAGTAATTGAATTAAAACCCCCTTTCCTAAAACTAAAATTCAGCGCAAACGCATTTCAAATATAAACTAACGCCGATATTAGAGACCTTGAAATGTATCAGGAACAAAGGAACTTTAAAATATTCCCCATTTCACCACAATTTAACCCACTGGGAGTTCCATAACCTCTCTGTCCAACTTGTATTTCCGCCGAAAATACTACAAGCCGGATGAGTTCGCTTACTTTATCAGCATAAAAAAAACAAAGAATAATATAAAAGCCAGAACTGTAGTTACTATAAAACAATTCGAGACGAAATAATGCTACTATCTTATTTGAGTAGGTAAGTATTTTCCAATATATTTCATATGGCGGTTTTCTTTTGTTAAATAACAAGGGTATAAAAAAGGGAAGCCATTATCTTAATACAAAGCTAATAATAATGCCATTTCAACAGCAGGGCTATTAGCGATCTATAGTCTGTAATTTATTATGGGCTTAAGTAAATTTATTCCAAGTTAATCCCTGACAATTTCACAATGCGATGGCCCGATTTCCATATTACCATATATTCATTTCATGTGTGCCGAATTCTTACTCTTTAAATAGTGCATCACCTTTATTTTATATCAATCAAGTCTCGCATTGATTTATCATCAATTCATGCAATTCCTTACTCCATATTAATTTTTTTGCCCATTTTTCCTAACATAAGCGTGGTTTCTTTTCCTATTCACCACTACTCTGCCTGCCAACTTGCCCCTATGTCAGCCTTTGTGGGTTTAGCTGTAGGTCATTAATATCTTTCTATTTGAGTACCCCTCATACGACATACCAATTAGCAATACCGCTATCTCTATCCTAGTTAATATGTTCTGGAGGTCTGTTTCATTTGCTTGTTACTGGGGTGTGCGATATACTTACTCCCACGCGGTTCACCCTGGGCAACGTATATTCATACGGCTTAAAACTCTATTAACTGGCGGTTGACTTCTGACTTCAAACTCCCATGACCCCGCTATATGTCACATTAGACTACCTTCACAGTACTCACCTCACCTTTTTTCTACTTTTATGTCCGTCTCTTTTACATCTTTGAAACACTTTTCTGTTCACATCCCCTCTCGATTTTTTGACTTTAATGTACCTCCACCCCTCTGTGAAGACTGAAGTCAACTATCACAACGCCTACCATTTGATATAAATAAGTAAATACTTGATAATAACGTCGTGAAGGTTGAAACTTTTTGTCATTTCTCTTTGTAGCTAAAGTAAGTGTTAATAGTGCTATTGAAATCCTCAAATCTTTGGGTCAAACTCCAATGCGGAGGTTTATAAAATAATGACAATTTTGAGAGCTTTCCGTTAACTGTTTGAATTGTTTGCCAATCACATTTTAATGAATTTAATGCTAATATTATTCCCATATCATTAACGCATTGCATTGGGACAAACGCAGCAGAATTTAAAGTTTCCAACATTACAATTAAAAGAGATGTAATTTGTTTTGTTGCAGTGACTTAAAAAAAGGATTGATTGTTTAAATGTTTTGAATTAACAATTGCTTGGAATTAATTTGTGAGAAAATTTGTGCCTCTTTTAGCACCAAAACGAACCAAACAAAAATAGCTTTGATTGACGTGAATGAAGAGAGTGTAAAAAAACGCGTTCAAAATTTAATTCCGAATAATTTTTTTCGTATTTTTGAGCTTGAAGAAGGGGTAATTTTGACGTGGCGATAACGACCTTTTAATAATCACGATGTAATTGATAAAATAAATAAGTGACCATTTTTTTCGCAATCGTCCTTCACATCTTACACTCTTTATCGCGCATTCAATTCCGTACTGCATTTTGCCATTCAGGGATTTTGCCATTTATGGCATCGTTACGACACAAGGTAGACAATTTACTACTATCAATAATTCCAGTCAAATGGTGTGCGATAAACTTACCTCCACGTGGTGCACCCTGAACAACGTATACTCATACTGCAAAAAGTCTATGAACCGGCAGTTGACTTCTGACTTCAAACTACCATC